TTTACTTATTTATTTTTTTATGAGATTACTTTAAAATTAATTTTAAAATTTTAATTTCTTAATCTTAAAAGTAAAATAAATAAAATATCAAAATCCTAGTCTCCTATCAATCTCACTTTCTATCAACTTTTCATCTTCTCTACTCTCCCTTTCCCTTTCTTCATCTCAAGCTCTCTAATCTTTCTTTTTAGTGGCACTCGTACAAAAAATTAGATTGAGTGACACATAATGCGCTACATCATGTGGAATTGTTGAAAAGTCACTTTTTTTTTTTTTACAATAAAAAATTAGAATGCTTATTAAAAATCAAAACCCTGTGTTTAAGGCACCACTACTAAAATTCTCACCTTCAGCAACATGGAAGCATGTTGCTGAAAGTGCTTCCCATGTTGCTAAAAGTCTTTTAGTAACATGGCTTTGGTTGCTAAAAGCTTTGTTGGAGAAAGCTTGGTGGGTAATACATCACCAACCAAAATTTTGTTGCTAATATATCAGCAACATGAGTTACATTGCTGAAAATATAGTATTAGCAACATAAGTTATGTTGTTGAAAACACTCACCGAAATCCAATGGGGATGAGGGTGAATTTTCTCACCCCCTTTATCAACATAAGTCACGTTGCTGAAGATAGGGTTTTAGCAACGTGGCTCATGTTGCTAAAAATTGAGAGAAATATGGTTGGAAACCGGCACCGAAATTCTGCTTAATTTTCAGCAAGCAAAGTCACATTGCTGATTTTCAACTTTTACCAAAAAAAACCATGTTGCTGATATTTATTTTTATACTTTCACCCACATTTTCAGTAACCTACCCATTGTTGCTAATGTTTACTGTAAATAGTATCAACCACATTTTTAGCAACATACTCTTTGTTGGTGATACATCAAAATAATTCATAAAAAAAAAATTATACTTACCAAAATTCTAAACACATATTTTTTATTTTAATTTTTATGAAAATAAATATATTACATTAAGTTTATACTATCAAATATTAAATTTAATAATATTACAATTTTAAAATATAAAATTGATTTTTTATAATCACCAAATATTAAATATCTTGATATCTCATAT